AAACATACAATATACATTCTCAATTAAATCATACGAATACGAATTCATAGATACTAGACATGGTAGAGTTACTTATATGAATGAGTGGTTTATCGTAAGCATGAATAAAAATAGTCTATAATACAACAGATTAACACAAAACAGCAATAGTATACACAATGGCCTGAAGAATATGTGTGTTCATTCAAAGAAAGGTTTTCCTATGAATGAATTAGTAGAAAAGTCAATTTCTACTGTGCGTTTGTCCTGGGACATGCAGGGATTCTCCCTGCTTTAGCTACTTTTGGCCAATAAACCCAGTGATATCAGCGTTGGTTGCCATGCAACAAAGGGGCCTGTTTTGGCTTCCTGGGGTGTTACGCATTCCGGGGGAAGGGTTCATGGGTCCTCGTATGGCTTGTTAACTGAGGGGGGTTACAGAGTATTTGTTAAATATAAAAACAAAAAATATATTGTGTGTTTGATTGGTCCAGACGCTACACCCCTTTAATACTTAATTACATTAGAAATATATTACTTTCTTACTTTTACTCTAGTAAAAGTAATTCAAAGATTTACTTGAGTACAAGAAAGTACTAATTTTTTTATGTTCTTAAGTATTAAAGATAAAACAAACAACAACTTTTATTTATGAAATGAAGTGCAGTAAAAAGTGTGACATTTTGCTTTGGAATGTAGTGAAGTAAAGTTTACTAAAGAAAAACTCTGATAAACTACAGACATTTTTTAAATTTACTTGAGTAAAGTAAAAATACTTCACCACTGTCCGCCTCTGACTTTATGTGGACCAAAACAAGGCTGTGATAGAGAATTACAGTCTTTAAAATGGCACGCACTGTACAAAGGTCCTAGATCACATGTAATTTTCACAGCTCACAACTTTCAAAACTCTTTATGGAGTTTTTGTTTACTAAAAGTGTTTTGGTTTTGTAAACGTTTGTATACAATGTGCTTCTATCCCCCACTGTCTCATTTTCATTCCTGTCAAAAAGTTAAATATGGAGCTACCCTGACTAAGGTCTATTCTGTGCATTTAAACAAAATTGCACAGCATAGGCCTACTGCACATACTGCAGAAGGATGAGTGTGGTAGCATACTATTTAAACCACTAATAACTCTGATGAAGGAGGACATTTATCATTGTAAAACTACATTCACTGAATCTCAGTCATTCCCATTTATTCCTCTTGCCATGTCCTTATCTTCATCATCATTTTCCTTTTTCCGCTAATACATATGCAGTACCACCTCGAAGGCCAGCGCCCACTCTTCCCCTTATCAGATACTTACCGTCCGGGTGCCACACAGACACACACATACACACACACACATACACACACACACACACACACACACACACACGTGCACTGAGTAATGTGGGAAGCATATTCCAGGTTGATAAATCAGATTATAAAGTAGGTAATCGAAGATAAACCCAAAGGTTTATCAGTGTTGGCCTGGATATTTGCAAAGCCACCAGATAGTAGTCAAAAAGCCACTGCTCATTTCAACCACATCCCTAACAATTCTAATCTCACTTGGGACAATAAAATCATACCTCAACATATGCACATATCTTAAAATGTACTACTTGTAGAGAACAGCTGATGGGCACCAAGATTAACTCTGTAAGTCATAGGTCACACCTTCATGTGACCAAACCTACTTAAAAGTACTTGATTTGGTTTGAAATGTCAAAACAATTACTTACATATACAATATTCTTCTTTTGTGTTCAAAGGGAACAACAAAACCTACAAAAACCCTTAGGTGTATGGTCAGAGTAAAAGAAGATCAGAATCAGAATCAGAATCAGAAGAGCTTTATTACCAAGTATGTTTACACACACAAGGAATTTGACTTGATGACAGGAGCTTCCAGTGTAGAAGAAAGTACAAACATACATAGCTGGCCACGCCCCGGATATCTGGGTATACAGTATATAGGCCAGTGTGGCATTAGCTCATTCATTTTGTTCTTCGGAGGCGATGCAGCGTCTTTTCGTGAGAATTGCAGCATTCATTCACCTCTCAATCTTCTTGTCGTTGGATCTATGGCACAGACAGCGGTCTCTCCCTTTCTATACAGTTATGGCCAAAAGTTATGGCAGTGACATAAATTTTGTGTTTTGCGAAGTTTGCTGCTTTAGTATTAGTAGATTATTTTTCCACATGTTTCTATGGTATACGGAAAAACAATGATAAGCATATCATAAGTTTTAAAGGATTTTATTGGCCAAAAAATATAATGAGTCAATATTTACAGTGTTGACCCTTGTTCTTCATAACCTCTGCAATTCGCTCTGGCATGCTGGATATTAGCTTCTGGGCCAAATCCTGAGTGATGGTGATCAATTCTTGCCTTATTAGTTCTCGGAGTTGATCACAATTTGTGCGTTCCTGCTTGTCCACTAGCCTTTTGAGGATTGACCACAGGTTATCTATGGGATTGAGATCCAGGGAGTTGCCTGGCCACGGATCCAAAATTTAAATGTAATGGTCTTCGAGCCACTTTTTTATCACTCTTGCTTTGTGACATGGTGCTCCATCATGCAGGAAAATGCACGGATCATCACCAAATTGCTCATGG